GCAAATGCCATCAAACTATGCAACTGTAGATCAAAGTTTCCTATCTGAATACCAAGCTTGTGCAATTTAAAGTATCCTGCCCATTGATAAAAATTATACCACACTTTTAATTTTTTGTTATTTGTTTCGGAAATATCACTAATAGATATATATTTTTTTTTTTAGCATATTGATGAATTGCAATTCCTATGGCCGTTCAAAGATGTTCAAGTACACAAAATGTCGCCCGATAGTCAATAACTTTTTCAAGTTTATCAAGAAACTTAACACCAAGCCGTGCAGCAAGCCCAAAAAGCCCATAATCTGAAAAAGCAGCAATTAATGCACTACACATTGCTTTGCTTGTATGCTATTGACCTAAAATACAATACACAGTTTGGTCTTCATTTTTGTAGTCTTTCATGTGACGATATATTGCCTCATCACATACTAAATTTAATACACCATCTTCTGTATAACCAAAATCTTCTAGATACATATCAACAGCATTGTAAACATACTCATTTTTGCTTGGAGCTTTTCCTGGTTTAAGAATCACAACATTTGGAGGATCAATAAACATCATTGTTTCTATATTTTTTCTAATAGCTTCATCAATATATTCAATACTAAAAGTTAGTCTTTAATTAACTAATTGTTCAAAGACTGAATCTACTTTTATTTGGCATTATTTCATAATAGGACTTATGCCAAAAAGAGAATAGTCTTTTATCGAATTGTCATTTAAGTTGACAAGCTCTGGACATTGAAATTGAAAGACCATTCTTACTGTTGCATATGCAGTTTTGCAAACTTCTTCAAAAATATTACCATATTGGAAGGTTGCATCTTTTATGTCAATATTATCTATAGCTACAATATTTAAAATATTCGGATTTTTGTTAAGTCTTGAGCGAGGATCTGTAGCAGACATTCTTTTCTTTTGGGTGCGAACTTCATGATTTCTTACATATGCTACTACTCTAACTGTATAAAGAATTTTATATAAAACTCCTATCATTTTTGGTCGTCGGCAAAGAGAAGAGAGAATATGTGTAAACCATATTTTCCAGTAGGGAAAAGCAATAGTAAGTATCACAGAAGTGAAAAAAGAAGAAAGTAGTTCAATTTTTCTTCTTTCTAATTGTGGAAAAGGTATATTTCTCTCTTTTCTTTTTCTAGCCAATACTTGCAATTTTTTCTTTTATAGTTAAAATCAAACTATAAAAAAAATTAACAAAAGAAGATAGCAAGGCTAGATAGTATTCATCTATGGATTCAGGCTCTTCAAGGGACGATAACTTTTTTTTAAGTTCAGATCGCTCTTGTAATATAGAAGAAGCAAGCATTTTTCCAAGATTTAGGTATGTAGTAGTTTTTAGTATTGGTGTTTGTTCTTTATCAACTTTGATTTTTTTAATACAAAATGCTGTTTTTATTAAAAAACAACTTGGAATTGAAGAAGGTTATCACTTTGAATTTGCTCTTTGGATATATCTGTTGTTATATTATTGAAGAGTTTGATTAGTTCTTTTAATAGGTTGTCCTTTGTAGAATCATCTCCATATTTGGCACTCTGCTCAATCCAATTAGCAAAAAACTTCAAGCCTGATTTGGTTTCATCTTTATATTGTTCTTTTTCTATATATGAAGGCAAACTAACTCCTTTTTTTTGTGGTCGAATTAGGAAGTGACCTCTATTTTCTACAAAGCAATTATAACAAATAAAACAAGTTCTATCATTGGAAGGTGGTTATTTTAATTTTTCTGATAAATTCTTGTATTCAGTTATCACTGGGTACTGAAATAATCCAAGACATGGAGCTTGAATTGCACGTCCACACACTTTCCAAGTATGCTTTTCACATGTTTTACCTTGTGTGAAAAATATTTTGTTTTATTACAAAATAGGCAGCAACGTGGGTTTATCATGCTTTTTTCAGTGGCCAGATTTTTCAAACTAAATTCATGTACAGTTCTTTGATCATAATTTAGATGATGCAAGCAAATTTTTAGTGCTAAAATGTCACCTCCAACTTCTTGTATAATTTGAGAATCAATTTCTCATGCACTAGATAGTTGCTTTAAAGAATGATCTGCCGAGTTAGTGCATCTTTGGATTATATTATCTTTATTATCATTGTCAACAGTAATACAACGTATCACTTTGATATTATGATTTGTGGGTAGAGGAATTAGTTTTTCAGATTCTTCAGATTCTTCAAATATTTTTGTTCTATCATCACTTTCTAACAATTCATTATCAGATTCATTGATTGATTGAGACATAATTTCTCTCAACTTTTTTAATAAACGCCAATAAAATGTAAGTGTCTCAACCATCTAGAAATGGGAGCTTCGGCGCAATAAATCTAAGGAACCGGCATAACCGAAAACCAATTTGGGAAGACCCGAATCTAGAGATAGCAGTGATCTTTGACGGTATCATAGGAGGGCTGAATTCGAACCGGGGCCTGAGATCAGAGAACCGAGTGACCAGGTCCTATGGTGGAGAACACACCAGCCAAACCGCCGAGTTGTCGCACCAGAGGAAAAAAGACATATGCTCCGAAAGTATAGACCAAGGGGAGGGCATCATTCAGGGACCTAAAGCCTGGGCAGACCAACTCTTCTGGGTTGCCGGCTGGAAGTCAGGGAGGAACCAATAAAGAATCCAGGTAAGAAGACAGTTTGAATATAGGTATCGGGGTTATTGTGAACTGGTTAAGGGCAATGAGTACGTAATAGGCGCCTAGTTAGGAAGGTTGGTGCTTGAGAAACATCTGTAGAACGGCAGCACCCCAAAAGGTGGCGTAAGATACGAATACGGAACAGCAGGTTAATATGTACTAATTAGGAAGCCATTACGGAACATGCAGGTGAATGCATGTGTGGGATATATACTGCTCTGTTAGGTTTACCTTGAGGATATATTAGCCAGAAGTGGTTAGTAAGTCCTAAGGCAGTCAGTGTATCCTCTTCAGGGTAATGCAAAATTCATATATAAATGGTGAGTAAACCCAGAGTTAGAGTCTTGAAGGCGGCTATTAGAACCAGATGGTTTAAATGAGTACCCCCCTAGTTGGGGTGCAGGTATGGCAGATAGTGTAGAACCTTCGGGCGGACTACTTAAATTAGGCACCCAAAAGGTGCACATGTGGCTTGATGTACCATCGTTGTAATTGCATTATAAAATGTCATTAATGCTCTAATAAAAGCTTTCAGGCCAAAGAGATCTCCTTAATCTATAAAAAAAAAAAAAATGTATGTGTCTCATTATTTGTTGCTTAATCTTCAATATTTGTATTGAATTCTTGACTAAAATCTTCATAGTTAAATGAATCTTCATACAAGAATTCTTCCATAGTTTATTTTTTATTTTTTATAATTAAATATACTACTACTAATTTTTTTTTAAATACAATTTTTTTGCAGTTTGAAAGCTACATATAATAGATCTTTATAATGTTTTTTTTTCAGATTTATTAGATCCATCAAGATATCACTTAGAATACCATAGCATTAATTTTACAAATGATTTTCATCTGGCTATAAAATTTTCTTTACTATATCAAGAGGTTTTTTACAAAATGGTCTTCACTATAATGGGTAGTTCACTATTCAAATCTGTCTATTATTATTAGAACTAGTGATGACATGCACATGAATTTTGAGAATTATGCATATGATTTTGTAGATATATTTTAATATACCTTGTACTGTAATTTTATTTAAACAATCATTTTAAATTAAAATTTATAAATTATCGTTTATCATGAGTGTTAAATACATTTTTATCAATCAGTTTTTTCATGTAAAAAATAAGGTACAACTTAATTCAATTTATTTTGAATTACCAATTTATTTTAGGAGAAATTACAAATAAGGGCCCAAATATATTGTTAGCTAAAAAAGTCAGTTTAAACATAATAGTGTCATAATTAATTAGATGTTTTAGAATTTCGTTATATCTAAATAAATTGATTATCAGTGCAATTTTGAATGTTACTACACAAGCCTAATTATATGTTATAGAAACTATTTAATATTAAATAAAATATACATACTATTTTTAATTTCTAATTCTTCGACTGCATGTATATGAATTATACTCTTTTTATTACAGTAATCTGATTTTCTGATGCCATTTCTCCACGACTACGCAACTGAGTTTTTGTGGCCATCTTACTTGTTTAATTGTAGGTGACAGCAAAATTTCATTATCAAGAACACATGATTCTGTTAATAATTCCATAAAAGTTTGACAAGTTGGATTATAAGAAATCAACTTCATTATATAATAAAACTATCTTTGTGCTTGTTAACTGAAACAGTAAAAGGGCATGAACTATTTTCATTCGTAGGTTTGATTTGTTATTTCTAAACTTATAAGGTAAAGAGTATTTGACAGAGTAACAGTTCAAGGCTGAGCAAACATTTTTCATATTAGTAAAAGTATTGCCGATTTGTAATATACATAATATGGTAATTGTTCTAAGCAGGTTTTTTGAAGATATATTTAGTGAATTGAATAAATTAGAAGAAGTACATATATTTTTTATTGCACATTTGAATTTATTATTATATTTCTTATACAGTTGATAATTAATGACTATATTATATGTCATATTCGAGTTATTGATCGATGGGGCTTGATCATGGGTATTTGAGCACGCCCTTAATTTTCCCAAAAAATTAATTAGATAAATGTTTGTTAATCACCACTGATTAAAATATTAAAAATAGCAACAAATAAATTAATAATTTAAATTAATAATTCAGTTCATTTATTGTGCAAAACAAAATTACCTTGTTAAAAAAATCTTGCTTATGAATTTTTTTAATTGCAAACGATTGTTTGCCAAAACTTTGAACGAAGATTATTTGGCACTTGCCTAATCAAATTTGATTAACTTTTTTTTATTTTAATTCTATATGCTTATAGTATTAAAATAAAAAAATTGATCAAATTTAACTAGGTAAGTGCCAAGTAATTTTTGTTAAAGTTTTGGTGCCAAAGTTTAATCTTGTTTCTTACTTATAGCAGGATCTTGAATAATCCTGGAAAAGTGACCGACTTCAAGGTTATCAGGTTCTGTAAAGGTGAAAGTTTTATCTATTGGTGGCGGAAAATAAATGATGACACGAATCAATGACATTGTTAATTAAAAATCTGCTGAGATGGGAGATACTGGTGGAATGTCCAAACTTGGTTATTGTTATAGAAATGGAATTGGAATTCCAAGAGATTTACAAAAGGCTGATAAGTATTTTGGAAATTACGGAAGATCTAGTTAGTTGGATGACCAAATTATATGGTAAGAAGGTGTAAAATATCTACAGTATAAGCGTGAGATAATGCTCACCTGTGCGCTAATTAATCGACCTGCATGTTATTTTGAATATGCCCATTGAAATAAGAGAAAATTTTCTAAATTCAATATATTCAATCTTCAATAAATGTGTGTTGTTGGGTGCTTTGATACAAATCTGGCATTTTCGTTTTATATTACATGCTGACCCATTTTTTTCAATTTTTTTTTTCTTTTATATTATTCGATTTTTGCTACTTAATTTTTTTTCTGCTATTTATCCAATGAAGACTAACATTATGGAATTATCCGACAGGACCGACAAAAAAAATGACTTGCCAGCCCAATTTTCTAATTCCTTGTTATGCAAAAAAAAATTAACTTTGAGTAGCCTTAAATATGAACACATTTCTATTAATTTAAAGTAGATATAAAATAAATAAAAATCTGACCAACTGACTCAATTTTTAGATTCCATGTAAGTAAAATGAAAAATTAACTTTCGTGGCCTTATGTATGCTATACAGCATTTTCTAAAAATTAAAAAAAAAAAAGTAACTACGATCTATAGATCTCTTGTTAAAACAGTATAATCTAAGTGTGGAGTACATACCTTCTCACAAGTTAAGAGTTTTTATTTTAGCACCTCCAGAAATTTATATTCTTGGGTGGGATTCTGATACACTATAAGAACTATGAAAAATAAAACAAAAGGCTGTTTTTGACAGCGTGATCTTTCTCAGGTTTATTGTTTTTCTCAGTTTAAACTAAAAAGCAAGAAAGTATTTGTGTGGTTTAACTGTTGCGCCTAGTCTTGTAAGTGCGATTTCCTTTTGATAACCCCTGAAAATGCCAGTTGAAAAGGGCCTACCGTTGCAATTTACTATGAAAAATGGATCGATCATATGAATGTCGATCACTCAAATTTCATAGTAAAAAATTTACCCCCGTGATCTGCGTGACAAATCGTGTAACTGTTATGTCACGAAGATCAATTTAATTAATTTCTAATTTGTGTTAACAATGCGTCTCGGGTAATATAAGTGTATGCTTAAGGGTTTCAATTACTTCGATTCTTTATTTCTAAGAGTTGGGAAACTTAGGGACAAGGTTTTTAGTCTTAAAGAACTTAGAGTTAACGCTTCTACTCGGATTTCGAAGGTTAGACTCTACTATACTACGAAGTAATGGTTTAATTTACAATACCGGGACAGTGACAAGGTTATTTTGGCGATTTATTAGGATCAAAGGGAAAAGATAAGTAACTTCTACTATTATAGCTTCGAAGTTATTAAGTTTAGAGTTATAAAACTCCGTAGAGTTGTGTTTTATTGAAAGAAAAAGCGCTCCTTATATAATTGTATTTACATATAGAAGAATTCTTTGAATGCTACGTTATTTATGCTATCTAATAGATAATGAGAATAAAAAGTTATTTTCGTTATCTAGTGGAATTCCTAATATCTATTAGATAACCGGAATTCCTAACAATTTGTACCACTTGAACCAATAATTCGGGACTTTTTTGTCTATAACCTAAAAATAGGGCCAGTGGGGTTCATTTCACCTCTCACACCGTACCACTTTTCTTATAGGGACGTTTTGAGTTTTTTAAGACTTTGACCAGGCCAAATTCGATGTACTTTTTTTTTTTTTTTTTTTTGAATTCTACACATTCATAGAATTCAAAAAATAATAATAATAATAAGTTTATCGAATTTGACTTGTGGATGTCGAGATATCTTCGCTCAAAGTTCAAAAAAACTTTAATTTGTATGGGGTATGAATAGCAAATTTAGGGGTACAAATAGCAATTCCCATAAAAATATTTCAATTAATGAATAAGTAACAATTATCAGGCAGTGCCCTGCCTGATAACTTATTAATTATTTACTTCATTATATAACCAATCGCCAACATCACGCTTCTGGTAATAATACGTACGGTGTAACTACGTGTATAAGCAGATCAACTACTAATACTACACAAAATATTACATTAAAACATATCTAATCTAAACCACCTAATAGTGGTAGGTTATGATTGAGGCTGGAAGAGAGTAATTACGGTCAATAGATTAGAGCCATAGAATATGGGCGTTCTCAAGCGCCTCGATTAATGGAACAAAGTATGTCAAAAATGCGTCGGGAATTAAATTTTAATTAACGGAAAGTAATTTTAATCGATCAATCGAGCTTGTCATTAAGCAATTCTTGAATGTGTGCCAGGTTGGTGGCGCATTAATCAGTTTATATAATTTGCGCCAATTAAAAAATTCCAATGATAACAATAAATTTGTAAACTTAATAAACGAAAATTTCTACTCGAATCCTGTTCTTGTTATTTTCAAAAAAGCACGTTTCCCTTCATTTTTTTCACAATCTTTAGCTTCAAATATTATTGTTTTGAATTCAAAAAAATATTTGTATTCTTTACTTTTATAATGTTTATAAATTATAATATTCAACAGAACAAAACATCAAAGTTCTTAATATAATACGCGTATAAAAAAAATATTGACATTAAAAGTATGATAAAATCTCAAATAAACACGTACTATATAGTTTACAAGGAAAAAAAATTCTTTAAATGAAAAAAAACTTTTCTCATAATCTACGCTGAATCGTATATTAAAAAAGAATAATACTAGTGTTCCTAAAGTTAATGACGTTTCACTTTTATAATTAAATTTTATAAGCTTTGTTATCCTTACATACTTCCGAAATTACTGTAATATACTTTACTTACATATTAAGTACGGTCAACTTTATTTATAATATACCTTTTTATAATGAACAAACTAAAAATTTTAAAAATTAAATTATTTCTGTTATGTCTTCAAGTTACAAAAAAAAAAAATAGAACCCATTCAAAGTCAGGACTGTTGATGAAACACATGGTGGAAGTTCGTTAAAAAGAAATTTTACGAATGCACTGTACATACTGAAATAAAAGTGATCATTTTGTGGCCGGTTAATGCGCCATCAACCTGGCACATATTCAAGAATTGCTGTCATTAAGATAAATGAGGTAGTTTATTACGTGAAAGAAAAATTTTAAATAGTAAAAAATGTACAGTGAGTTTACCATTTCAGTCAAAACTTTTTGTTTTTTTTTTGCCCTGACTTATCAAAACTTTATAAATATTAAAATGAATAATGTATTGTTCATGTGTTTTCATACTTTTATTATGGATTTTCATTACCGACATATATTTTTGTAAAATTTTCGATAAACTATTTAGAATCCTCACAATTTATGATTGAGATCTTTATTTTGACCCACCGTTGCAATTGAGAATCACTACGATTATTAAAAAATCGTAGTAATAATAATGTTTGAGCATATCTCAATAATATCGTCATTTGTATTGTTGACTTTTATCCAAAATGTTATGGCAATAGCTAAAATTACATCATAATACTTGTGCACTATGCTTGAGAACACCCTATGTCACGAAACTCTAATTCTTTATACGAAGTATATATATCGGAAGTATTGTAGCGAAATACTTTAATTGGGACTTTTATCGGGATATGAGGGCCTACAGAACTACATCATTATTCAATGTAATAATACTTCATGTCTTTATATACATTTACATATCTATATAAGTTGCTAACATATTTACCATATATACTTTATCTACTCTATCAAGCTACCTACATGTATTTCATATTTGGTAGATTCAGCGATCCATTAACCATAACTCAACATGCAGATTCTCGATTTTGATTGGCTAACGGCCGTGATCTTTAAAATTTTTTGGCCGCATTACAAAATTGGTTACTAATTTCTGGCCGGAATTAACTTTTTGATTTTTTCATTACAAAATAGAAATTTTTGGCCCAGGAACAATTTCACTAGAGTAATTCGACCACACCAGGGCGTAGGATCGATTTTATTGTCACATGACTTTATGACGTCTATCAGCCAATTAAAATTCAGGATCAGGCGTAACGTAAAAAAATTCAAAACAAACGTTTATTTTACAAAAAACGCATTTATCTCGAAATTTAGTCTAGTAAACTATCTTTGAAGCTCTAACAAAAAAGAATTCCTTGTGCAATTTTACTATATAACTGCTCTTTTTAATCCTCTTAAACTCTAACCGGACGTAAAAAAGTTTTTTGGATTTGATGAAATTTGTTTTCCGACTATCACGTGACAGTAAATCGACCCTACGCCCTGGTGTTGCCGAGTGATTCCGGCCTAATTTTTTGATCGTCGCACTTAGCAAATCAAAATCAAAATCAAGAATCTGCTGTGACAATTTTGTTGGGCTAATGACCAGATCCACCGCTGCGACGATAACTAACACAAAATGCGATTATGTGCATACATGCATTATATGCATTACTGATGAAAAGCCATTAAAATTTGAGGTAATAGTAATGTAATGTTTGTCGGTTGTAAACAGATGCCAGTATGATTTTGAGTTTATTACTTACGTACTATATAGCATATTTGTACAACCATTTGTACGTACGTACGTTGTAGCTCCCAGAATTGGGAGAGCGATAAATGAGTATGTGCGGTTTAGCTTTGGCCACTACATAAGTTATGCGGGATGAATGTTCGGGTTTAATGATGGTCGACCATTAAGGAGAGTGATCATTAGAATGATCGGGATTATTCTGTTAAGTTACTTATTATCGCGCGAAATGCTGATGTCTAATAAATTATTTATATTATCTCGCGCGAGAGTCAATTGAATGACATCAACATTTCGCGCGAGATACATCTCTATTCGCTATCTATCTTTTCTGGTATGATACATTATTTATCAAAGAAAAATAGTAATAATCTATGACGAATTATTACGATATATGCAATCATGCAATATTCCCACACACATAATTATGAAGTAATAATTACTCATTAACAAATCGCTCAACAACGTACGTACGTACGAATAATAAATACACTGCATCGGTATAATAAATTTACAATTTTTCTTTTTTTATGCGATTAATAAAAAAAAAACCATGAATTCATCAGACGATATTTCTCAAATCACGGATAATTTAAATCAACTGCGTTTTATTAACTATCAAAAATTGGCAGATATGAATGATCCAGACGGAGTGTACAGGCTTGGTTACTGTTATGAATATGGAATTGGAGTTTAAAAGGATGAAAACAAAGCATTCACGCATTATCAAAAATCAGCAGAAGCGAATTATATATCATGTTGGCTATTGTTACTACTTAGGAATTGGAGTTGAAATTGATAAGCATAAAGCATTTACATATTATCTGAAATCTGCCGAGGCAGGTAATTCCATGGGAATTTGGAAAACTGCCATTTGCTACTGTTATGGAATTGGCGTGGAAAAGAATTATAATAAATTTAAAGAATGGATTTTTAAGTATGTTATTTCTTTAATATGTTAATTTTCAATATTTTATTATAATGCTTTCTAATTTTATTTTATAATTGAAATATCTCATACAATTTTGATTATCCGATTTTAATTATTAGAGAGTAAATCTATTTATTAATCCGCATGTAAACTATTATAGGCTCATATATATTTATTATACGTGTTAATTTAGTCCGTGAGTATAAAGACTATTTAGTGATATAAGATCTGCTAATATTTATTTA